CGGTGGCAGCCTGAGCCAAGACAAAACCTCCAATACACCCTGGCAGGGAGACTGGCAGCGAACTCACTGGGCTCCGGCGCGCATGCCCCGAACCCGCCAATCGGGCCGCAGCCCCGGCCCCCTGACGTGCTTCCGGTTAGGACAGCCCCTGTTGCTGTGGTTCCGAGGGCGGCCCCGGGATGCGGCCTTGCTGGGGCCTTCTTGGAAGGTTCTCTTCTGTTTGCAGAAACCCCCTCTCATTTTATTTGAGCTCCGCAGCCTTGGGGTCTCTTACTTGGCGCGAAATGTTCCGGCAGAAGACGGGTTTTCCGTACAGTTTGTGCCCTTGGGTTTCTCTGGACGGCAGAGGGCAGTAGTGCATCGTGTTCCGCGCCACGCGCCTCTTCCCCGCCCTTCGCGCTCGAAAAAACTTCTCGCAGTTTTTCCCTTCATTGGCCGACACTGTCTGGGCCTCCGCAGCCCCAGCAGCCATCTTGGCTGACGTGCTGCTTCAGTGGGTTCAGCAGTGAAAACTTGTACTGTGTACACGGGAACGCTTTCTTTTCAAATCCCCTTTTCTTCTGAGCTGCTGCCTAGGTCGCTTAGCAACGTTTATCTCTGCTTCTCTGAAGGAGTTGTCATTGCGCTTCCCCAAATGGGGGTTTCTGGGCCTTTATGAATATATGCTTCGGTTATGACAGTCACTCAAAGCGCACTGTAGAGAATTTGGGGGACAGATAAAGTTACTCAATCCACAGTCCCATCATCCAATATTGAACATTAAGACTATTTTGTGCTCAGTTTCTTAGAGATATTTCATCAAACACAAGGTGTATTTTAAATATGGTAAGGCTGATGCTTGTGTCATGACTTCAACCTCTTTTTAAACTCATTTATACAATGTGGAAGGTCGTTTTTACATTTTTAGTTATCTGACTGAAAAATAATGCAGACATATTGCAATATGTTTGAACGTTTCTGTTCATCTTAAGTTGAATATGCNGGTCGTTTTTACATTTTTAGTTATCTGACTGAAAAATAATGCAGACATATTGCAATATGTTTGAACGTTTCTGTTCATCTTAAATTGAATATGCAATGACCTGTGATCCAGAGATGGCAGCACAGCCCCTGTGGGAGAGCAGGGGCTGCAGTGCAGGTCTGCTGCCCCTTCCCTCAGCATTCGGGGGAGTTCTTGGCATTTAGTGAATGTTCAGTAAGTATTGTGAAATGTTTCCAGAATTTACTTTTGCGGATATATGTTTATATAATATGATATAATGTGTATATATAATATATATATGATATATATTATATGATATATGATATATATGATATATATGATATGTATATTCTGTATATATATTTGTGTGTGTGTGTGTGTGTGTGTATTGTCTTTAACTGGTCCTTAATTATAGTATACCAACAGTTTTCTATTGGGTTTTTGTTTTAATTTGGCCCTTTTTGGGTCATTTTTCTTTTTATTTTCTTTTTAACTTATTACATAAGCATTCCTGCCCGACGGGGCATGGCTGAGTGGTTGGTTGAGCATGGACTGGGTATTCAGGCGATCAGGTTCCATTCCAGGTCAGGGCATGTTCCCGGGTTGCAGGCTCGATCAATGACTCTCATCATTGATGTCTCTCTCTCTCTCCCTCTCCTTTCCTCTCTCTGAGATCAGTAAAGATATATTTTTAAAAATTAAATATAATAAATTTATATATAAGCATTGCTTTTTATTTTTTTATTTTTTAAATATATCTTTATTGATTTCAGAGAGAGGAAGGGAAAGGAAGAGAGGTAGAAACATCAATGATGAGAGAGTCATTGATCAGCAGCCCCCTGAACGCCCCTGACAGGGGATGGAGTCTGCAACTGGGGCATGTGCCCTGACCTGGATCTTAGGTTTAGGCTCAATGGCTGAGCCATGCCCGGCTGGGCTGGGTCATTTTTCTTTATGACCATTTTCTTATCTTTTTTTAATTTTTCAAAATATTACAGATGTCCCATTTTTCTGCATTGAACCGTTTCACCCTGCACCCACTTCTTGCCCTGGACCTTCCCCACACTTTTATTTGTGTCTATGGGTTATGCATATATGTATATAGATTCTTTGCTTAATCTCTCCCAACCCACCTTCCACCTTCAGAGTTTCCTCAGTGTGATACATGCTTCCAGTCACCGAATCTATTTTGTTCATCAGTTTATTATGTTTTTATATTTCACATATAAGTGAGATCATATGATATTTGTCTTTCTCTACCTGGCTTATTTCGCTTAGCATAATATTCTCCAGGTTCATCCATACTGTCCCAAAGGGTAAGAGATCCTTCTTCTTTATAGCTGCTTGGTATTCCATGGTGTAGATGTCCCACAGTTTTTTATCCACTCATCTACTGATGAGCATTTGGGCTGTTTCCAGATCTTAGGTATAGTAAATCGCACTGCTATGAACATAGTGGTGCATATATCCTTTGTGATTAGTGTTGCAGGATTCTTAGGATATATTTCTTGGAGTGGGATTACTGGGTCAAAGGGCAATTCTATTGTTTTATATTTTGAGGAACCTCCATACTGTTTTCCCATAGTGGCTACACCACTCTGCATTCCCACCAGCAGTGTACCAGGGTTCCCCTTTCTCCACACCCTTGCCAGCACGTGTCATTTGTTGATTTGTTGTTGGTAGCCCTTCTGACAGTTGTGAAGTGGTACCTCATTGTGGTTTTAATTTGCATCTCTCTGGTAATTAGTGACATTGAGCATTTTTCCTATGTCTTTTAGCCATCTGTATGTACTCTTTGTCAAAGTGTCTATTTGGGTCCTTTGCCCAGTTTTTAATTGGATTGTTTGTTTTCCTGTTGTTGAGTTGTATGAGTTCTTTGTACACTTTAGAAATTAGCCCCTTATCAGATGCATCCTTGGCAAATATGTTCTCCCATGCCTTGGGGCTCCTTTGTATTTTGAAGCTGATTTCTTTTGCTGTGCAGAAGCTTTTTAGTGTGATGCAGTCCCATTTTTTATTTTTTATTTTGTTTCTCTTGCCCTAGGAGATGTATCTGTGAAAATTCCACTAAATGAGATTTCTGTGNCCGGTGGCCCGCCCCATGCTGAGCCCTTCTGCGGAGCAGCCATCTGCTGCAGCTTTAATGAATGAATCACTCCAGGGTTTTTTGGTTTGTTTTGTTTTCTGTTTTTTTTTTTTTTTTTTTTTTTTTTTTTTTCAGAAAAATTGCTCTTTCATTTTTTTTTAAGAGCGAAGGGTGGGAGAGAAGTGAGCAGGATACTTGCAAAGTGCCACACTGCCGCTTGCTGACCAAAGAAACAATGCCACCAATCACACAAGAAAAGCGTCTTACCTGGAAGATTTTTGCGGAGAGCCTGGGAGTATGCTACCAAAATTGATTAGGACTATGGAAAGAACACAGAAAATCACACAATAAATGCAAAGGCCCCAGTAAGGCCACTTTCATAGTCAAACGCTCAGAATTACAGCAACACCATGAGGAAGTGCTAGCACCCAAAAAGGAAACTCTTGAAGATGGGGCTACACACTGATTGGCCACTTCTGGATGTGCACAGAGGGTCCTACTGAGATCCCTGCCAGTCTTCCATTGGGCACACACTAGAGGTTTTCTTGCAGTTTTGGCATCTTAGGCCGATGGACCAGACCAGTGATTTCCAGTTCCTGTGGTCCAACTGCCACAGCCACACATGCAGGACCCTTTCCAATTCCCTCCCTATCACCTGCCTGATACCCCTGGCCCCAGCCATGAAAGAACTCATACTATGACACAGGCCCCATCCTCCTCTCAGCCCTCATTCCTCTGAACCCTCCTGGTAACCTCAAGGTCCAGGAGCCTGACCTGGTCATCCCAGACACTATAGGTGCTCAAGGAGGTTTTACTTCTTCCCATGTTGTGTCCACCTACCCATAGTCATGCCCTGGGCATCAGGAAACCCAGCGCTGCTCATTGATGTCCTTTCTTAGCATTCCCTCTCTGATCGCCTCCAACACCCTGTCCCTTCTTCTAATGCTGCTGCTTAGAAACCCTTCAACCTCTAGGGGCCTCTAGTGGGGACCCCACAGCGCTCCTCACCATCCACCAGGCCCCACCCTACCCAGCCTACCCTGGCTTATAAACTCTGCTTCTAACATTCCTCTCTAGCTCCTTTCTCCCTCTTCCACACTCTTCTACTGTTCCCCAGTAAGAGACACACCCCTGCCTGTATTTGAGCACCTAAACACTGATGCCAAAAATTTAAGCCTTACTGAATTGTTTATCTTAAAACCCATCACCAGGAGACCATTGCTTCTCTCTGTCACCTTCATTCTACCTACATTACTACTTTACTCACTAGCAACCCTCTTCCATTCCAATGGAGAGGACAATGAGCTGTGACAGCTCAGAGCTTCCCACACCAATAGACCTGTTTTTGTCCTGACATTTTCTGCTGCTCTTGGGCATATCTGCTTTTGACTGCAGCCAGCCATCACCTGCGCTCAGGATCCCATGACTTCCATCTGTTCAGGGGCTTCACTCTTGCACTTAGCATCACTCCTCTCTCCTGAACTGTCACTGAGGAGGAATGGAGAGGTAACAGAAAGGGAAATCTACTCGCATTTACAGTTTCTACAAGCTTGACTTCCAAGGAATCAAGACATGGGTATTAGAAGCAGAGGGCTGTTTGCTTTTCACTATGTTTTTTACTGTCCCCCAAACAAGACAGAACACCCGAAGATGCAGGCACCAGAAATCCCTAAGGCATGAGCCTCAGAGGAGATGCTTTAAGTTGAGGAGGGAGGAACAGGGTTTTCAAGCAGCACAGGATCTGCAGGAAGACCCCCATCCTCACTCCTACACCCATTCTTACCTCTGTGACCCAGGGAGCAACAGGTTGAGAGACATAATATCACCCAAGCAAAAGGCCTCAGTAGGTGATATCGGGGGAGAGATAAAGATTGAATGAACTAACTGAAGAGGATAATCCAGGTAGAAGAATTGGGAAGATTTGGAAAAAGAAGCATAAGAAGGAGGATGAGTTATACTGGTAGATCAGACAGCAGTCCTAAGATGAAGGCAGGGGATGCAAGGAGCCTGGGCTTGGAGTGACGGCAGGAGCTGGAGACATGAGCATTTGACTCGCCCCGAGATTCATACAAAATATCTTCTGCAAAGACATTTCTTGTTTCAGGGCCACAGAAGCCCAAGAAGCTATGAGAAGCTAGAAGAGCTTTGTCTTCTCTGCGTCCTGGACTTGGATGGATTTAAAGCACCTGTCAATCTAAGCCCTATTGATGAGACTGGCCTCGATCACTCCTATCTGGTGGTGATGAGGCTGTGCTCTGGGGTCCCTCAGAGGAGGAACAGAGGGCCGGGCCATAGAAAAGAACTCCCTTGTGATTCTGGCCCCTGCAAAGGTGGGGTATCCATCTAGTCCCAGGTCACCACAAAAGTCCTGGTGGATTGTTAGAAGTGCAGGGAGAAACATGACTCGAGTCTTTCAATATCTTACCCGAGGGCCACAGATCTCAGGTCACCGTGAAATAACTGGGGGCATATGCTCTCCAGAGCAGGAACAGGGTCCAGTATACAAGAGATTTCTGCCATAGCTACAGGCAGGCACTATAAGAACTCAAGGTCTTTGTAGGGCAATCTCTGTCTGTCTAAAGCTCATTACCCCTGTTTCCGAGGATAAGGATCAGAGGTGAGACAGCAAAAGATGAAGAAAGGGGATGAGGTGGGACATGACTGGAAATAGTAGAACCAGCCCTTCCTACAAGCTGACCCCTTTAGGTCACCAGGTTGAGACCCAAGATTCCTGTGGCTTCTCTGGGACTAGACCCTGCTGTCCCCTTGAGAGACTCTACAGCCTCAGCTCACTTTGTCTCCTTAAGATGAAGGGGGTAGAAGGTATGATTTTCTGAGGTGCAGGAACCAAATGGGGCAATGGGATGAAAGGTCTTCTAAGTCACGGAGCCCCATGTACAGTGAGCCTGTCACCCCTGACCCCGTTTCTCACATGTAATTGTTGGGTCTGCAGTATTCAATGGGCTCTCCTCTGTGGCAAACGCACTGAAGGGGCCAGGGGCACCCGAGGTGCCCAGAAGTGGACACCTGAGACCTGCCCATCACCAGGAGGGTTTGATTGCTGCTCTCCCTGGACAAAAGGCAGTGCCCCTGCTCAGGGCCCAGTTGTGTAGGAGACGAGGGCAGCGTCCCCCTTGAAGAGGAGGTTCCCTGAGGACACAGCAGGCTGAGCAAGAGATCTTGGGACATACTCTGGGTCTGTCAGCAACTACTGCGATTCTCACCCCAGCCTCTCAGCTCTAGGGAGGACTCTGGCACGATTTACCTTCTAAAGAAATAAGAAGGAAAACACCGCCTTCTCCTCATAAACATACTGACTTTCTGCACCTTCCCGCAGGCTTCCATTCCTGGCCCCGGAAACCTTTTCCTGAAGCCCAGCTCCAGAACTCAGGCCTTGGAGTGAAGGCCCGTGTCATTTAACGGACAGGAGCCTGGCATGGCCTGTGGAGGGAAGGACGGCCTTGCTGAGACCCTGCTCGCCTCAGTGACAGCCCTCATCAGCTCCTCCACTCGGTGAGTCTGGCTGGGCCTCTCCTCTTGCTGTGATGTTTTAGGGGTCCGTTGATGGCATGCTGGATAAACGTTGTCCTGGGTTAAAGGCAGGAGGACGCAAGGACCCCAAGGCTCCCTCTCACAGGGACAGATTGGATGTGGGTACAAGAGGAGCGTGTGGGGATGGTGTGCTGACATCCCAGGTTCATGGGTGCCCCTCATATGCAGGGGCCCTTTGGTTTATTTATTCTGCCCCACTGTGCTGATCTTCATCAGTGGGGCCCACCCTCTGAGCCGGAATGGGGAGAGCAAAGGAGCCCTGAGTTTGCTTCCAATCTGGTAAGTAAGGTGAGGTGCAAGCATGTGAATGGTCCATGTACTTCCTGACTCACCCCCGTTCTCTGAGGTCTCTGATCTCTGCCTGTCACTGCTTGTGCAGGTCGTCCCCCAGTGACTGGAACAGATGCTCTCTTCTGTGTTTTCTCTTTCATGTTGACTCAAGATTTCCCATACTTTGTGCAGGTCAATGGAGCATACTGTGGAATGTGTACCTTGTCGAGAACAACAGGAGAGTATGTTGTCATATGACTCTTCCTTCTTTCCAAAAGAGATAAATAGAGTGATAGAGAATGGAGCGGGTAAAGGTGCCAGAGGCATCAGAGCGGTTATCTAAGATGAGCACGAAAATTGATTGTGGATCAGGAAATATGGATATTAAGGATGGCCTTGAGTAGACCAGTTTCAGCAGAGTGATAGGTTCAAAAGCCTTATTGAAGGGGATTGAGGAGCAAATGGTCTCAGGAGAAGCTGAGACAGTTTTGCTTTGAACATCATCCATTAATGTGCCAGTAGCTGCAGAATGACATGTGGGAAGGGGGTTGGGTTTCCTCCATTAGTTGTGGGGTGGTCCAATATACAAAGAGCAGGTGATATTTCAGGAGAGGGTTGATTAGTGCAGGAGCAAAGCTCCTGAGCAGGTGGAAGGCATGGGATCCCGAGCACAGGTGGGGGCTGGCTGCAGTCAGGAGCAGGTAAGCCCAGGAGCAGCAGAGAATGTGAGGTGAGTAGCCCTACCTCATAGCTCCTGTTCTGCATAAATTATTAGGGAAGATCATTGGAATGGAAGAGTGCTGCTAGTGAGTAATGCACTGGTGTTGGTAGGATGACGGTGAAAGTGAGAATCAATGTTCTTCTAGTAATGGATTCAAGAAAATTAAGTAAGGCCCGGCCGGGCATGGCTCAGAGGTTGAACATCAACCTAGGATCCAGGCGATCGGGGTTTGATTCCCTGTCAGGGCACATGCCCAGGTTGCAGGCTCGATCAATGACTTTCTCATCATTGATGTTTCTATCTCTCTCTCTCCCTCTCCTTTCCTCTCTCTGAAATCAATAAGGATATATTTAAAAAAAGAAAATTAAGTAAGGCTTAAATTGTCATCAATACTCAAGTGCTCAGGTACAGGTAGGGATATATGCCTTAATTGGGGCACAGCAGGAGACGATGGAGGGGATGGAAAGGAGCAAGCAAGGTGTGTCAGAGGGGGAATTTATAGCCCTTGGTAATGTGGGTAAGGACTGGCTTGGTGGAAGGTGAGGAGTCCAGTGGGGGCTAGTCCCAGGTGGCCCCCGCACGCAGCTTGAAGGCTATCTAAAGGGAGGCATTAGCCCAGCCGGGCGTGGCTCAGCGGTTGAGCATTGACCTAGGATCCAGGAGATCGGGGTTCGATTCCCAGTCAGGGCTATATGCCCGGGTTGTGGGCTAGGCAGCCTATCAATGACTCTCTCATCATTGATGTTTCTATCTCTCTCCCCCTCCTTTCCTCTCCCTGAAATCAATAAATATATATATATATTTTTTTTTTTTAAAAAAAGGGAGGCATTAAAGGAAGGAAGGTGGAGGAACTGGCATGGTTTTGAGGTGATATGAGTGGAGAAAGCTGAGAAAGGGACACCATTGATGGATGTGGGGTTTTCTGGTGCCCAGGGCATCATCATGGGCAGGGCAGAGAACATACCTGAAGTCGGAGAGATTAAGGACTTCACTGAGTCAGGCATGTGACTCCTCAGCTCACTGGGAGGGTTCAGAAGAGTGAGAACTGATAGGAGGACGGTGAGTATGCCATGGAAACACCGTGATCACAAGCTAGAGAGGATGACCACAGGATTTTTACAGGCCCTGAAGGTAGGGTGATGGAGTGGCTGGAACATTCGTGAGACAGTTCCTCTCCATCACCTGACATTTGCAATGCGGGGGGCGAGCGGCAGAATTCTAGGAGAGATTGGGTGGGAAAGTGGCACCAATTTCACTTCGCTTTGGTGCAGGCAGGCCCAGAACCTGCCAGTCTTAGGGCAACATGGGCCATGGCTTCCTTGGTCCCTGGTCCCTGGGGTAGGATTTCCGGCCTCTATTGCTGTATCATTCTGAGAGCGGGTCTAAAGAAGTGGCCATACTGGTGCAGGTTCGCAAGGGTCTATCGGGCTCCTCTCTGCTTTTTCAGAGCATAACCATCACCTGGTAGTGGGTCCTGAAACAAAGTATGTCGTCTTTTATGAGAAATCCAGTGAAAACCAGGGATTTCCTTCTCGGAATGATTGTGCGGAGTTTTTATGGACAACAGAGGGCAGTGTCAAGCCATTAAATGTCCCCATTCCTCTCCCTTTGTGTTTGAAAAAACTAAGCTGAGCAATTTCGCAGAGAATTGGCACTTCCTTTCTGTTCTGGGGCCTATTCTCAAGCTAAACTACTCCATTCCTTGGCCGCCCTACTGAAAATTTGAAGCCTAGGTTGCTTAGCATTTTTTATTTCTGCTTCTCTGAATGCTCTTGTCACTCACTGGCTTTCCACAAGTTGTTTGAGCTTTTATCAATATATTCTTCAGTTACCCTACTCACTCAATCCCCACTGTAGAAAATTTGGAGAACTGATAAAATATAATAAAGTAATCTAAACCAGTTCCATCACCCACTGATAACCATTAATAATAATTTGTGATAAATTTCTTCAGAGATCTCATCCATAAAGTTGTACTGCACATACAATGAGATTCATGTTGCATTGTGACTTCAACATCTTTTCTAAAACTTAGATTTTTAGCATGAGTTAGGTGTTCTAAAAATCATTTGAAAAGACTTGAAAATGTTTTTCATTTCTCTTCCTTAAAGTGTAAGTAGTTTAAAACAGGGAATATAGATACATACCTGAGATAAAAGCAGAAACACCCTGAATCCTATCTCCAAGGAAAATATCATACTGTAATCTTCCTAAGGACAGAAGCTATATTTTTGGCTTTGTTTTTGCTTAACACTGTATTATCAACATGGGAAATCCATTTGTTTTGTCTGTCCTCCAGCATCCTTATTTTACTGTTGCCATGGTGAAGGCCAACTGCTCCCTTGATGCTGTCCAGTGAACGTAGAAGTTTACAAAACCCAGTAAGATTTGTCATATATCCGCTCCATTATTTGTCTCTCAGGCTATAAAGGAAATTCTTCTGATTGTAGTCATTTGGGAAGACAGAGAAAAGAAAAAAGAAAAAGAGAGTAAATCATCCATGACCTAACCATTTTCAACATGTTTTGCATATCACCTTCATTTTTACCAACTTGTGATAGTTCCGTATATAATACACACTTGTGAAGTTTTTATGGTTGACATTAGGTCATTCATATATTTTCTTAAAAATCAATTTAGCCTATCCTGAATGAAATGCATCTTCCACTATTCCTACATGGTTTTTGAAATATGAAAAATAATGGTATGACAAGCTTTGAATAAATTTATGCCTACATTTTAGATAATTTGCATTGCAGAGATTCCTACAAGTTGACACATATTGCCACATTCCTTTAAGCTAGAACATAAGCCAGGGCCTGCATTATTGCATCCTGAAAGTACTGACAATTTTTTAAAGTGTTGCCAAGTTCAGAGGTGAAAAGTATATCACATTGTTTTATATTTTAAGTTTTTTATTGATTATAGAAGGAGAAACATCGATTTGTTGTTCCACTTATTTATGCGTTCATCGGTTGATTCTTGTATGGGGACTGAACCCTCAACCTTGGCATATGGGGATGATGCTCTAACCAACTGAGCTACCTGTGCAGGGCTGTTTTAAAATAATTTTTTATTGTTTGTGAGATTCTATATCCTTTCATATGTTTAATACCTACTTATTTATTATATATACTCATGTAAAATAATTGATGACAATTCATATAAGAATTAATTTTCAAATTAGTACTTAAGAAAATAAGAAAAAACAGAAAACGTAATTAAAAAACAAAATGAGCCCTGGCTGGTAAGGCTCAGTTCCTTGAAGCATCCTCCAATGCACCGAAGGGTCAAGGGTTCAATTTCTGGTCAGGATGAGTGA